AGGCACATTTCTAAGGATTTGGGATAAGCAACAATATTGACAAGAGAGTTTAAGCTCCTCAGAACAGCTAATAAGAACAAACAATTAGTCCAAACATTCAAGACTCCTCTCTTTTTTATTTTCATCAGACATTAGTGTTTACTTTTCTCTGTGTGCTTTAAAAAAAAATCTGTTCTGCTCTCTGTACCGTGTTGCCAAACTGATTAACAACTTCAGGCGCGCAGTTTCAATATTTATACTGTCGACTTTATTTCGAGTGAAAAGAGTAACAAATTTGTGCAGATGCACCCAAAGCAGCTGACGGCAGGCAGCATTAATTGACTGTTGACACGTGTGAATGGGAGCGCAGTCAGCCAAAAGGGTGCTGGGCTAAATCAAGGGTTCCCTTTATTTTTAGAGCTGTGTTTCTGCGCGCTGCTTCTTTATGCTGCCTTCAAAAGGTTCGAATGCAGATGGCAGAGCCGTCTGTATGGAATCAAAACCGTGCATTCAGACCTGAAGATCCCAGCTAAATGGCACGTAAACACATGGGAGGAGCCCGGAGGAGGAGCGGAGGATGTAAAGAAAACTCGTGCTCAAAAACAAACTGATTAACTTTGCACTTGAACTTCTTCTTCCAAACAAATCCAGAATCACTCGAAATAACACAAAAAAAAACCACTGTAAACAAACAAAAAATATATATTTATTAAAAAAAAGCAAAACGACTTTGGAAACTGGAGACGGTTCTGTTAAAAACAAGATGTTTTTGATCGGGCTTTTGTGAATGGCACCTTTAATTAAGTTTAATCTGCATRCATTGCAGAGAGCTTACAGTTCCAACACAATGCTCCCATTCAAAGGAAATTAAATAAAAGTCTGAAAAAGTGGGAATATTAATTAGTTTCTCTGATTACAAGGRCATCGGTGTATTCACCACCTTATTTATCATTATTAACCTGTTCTCTCTGCTCAAAAGGACTCGTCACAATATCGTGCCTCAAAGACGCGCAGAAAAGTGATGTGTTGTACTTTTTTCAAGCGCACACTGTAAGCTTTGTCCACAGTGTCACACACACACACACACACCTAAAGGCGCACCCGAGCGGGTATAAGAACATTTTGTTCACTAAGTCTGGGATCTCCAGTATGTATCTGAAGCACTCGGCACTGTAAACATGTAGAATAAGCTGCTCTACACAGAGGCTGGACTGCTGCTGCTTCTTATGGTTTCAGTGTACACCACTGCACAAGTGTTCACACCCAACGTTCAGAACTGCAAAGTGTCACCAACTGCAACCAGCAAATAACCGAAGCAAACAAATCAGAAGGTGCTAAACTGATAATAAACACAACCACACAGACGCTACAGTCTCACCTTCTGTCTGTTTGGGGAGACGAAAAACAAACAATTTCAACTAAAAGCCTAGAATTACTTGAAGGAATGCGTATCACCCGCTGAGTTTTAGACCGAGATCATCAAAAAGAGTCGTAGCCAAAACTTAAAAAACAATAAACACAATTTTCATTATAAGATGTAATGTTCACAGTGTTGTGGAAAACACTCACACATTATATTTTAGCTCAGGATTTGTAAAATGAATTAGAGGTCACTTTGCTGTGGTGATCATTTTAAATCAGGTTGGCTTCAAAAGTTGATCATTTCTATTCATTCATCCATCGAATCATGAGATATTTAGTTAACAGAGTATACTGTAGGTAATGAGAAACTTCTGAACAAAGCTCTTTCAGAATCTGGTAAAACCTGTGATCTATGTTGGGCGTTCATCTCAGCTACAACCAAACCAGATTTTACATCAATATTTGTAAAAATGATAAAGTTGTAGCTATTTTTGTGTTTTTACGGTCAGTTGTCTGGATAGGTTTGGGGCAATACAACAGCAAAAATAGTTGTCATGATTAATTCTTAATTCTTAATATTTCTTTTTTTCACAATTATACAATTGCACATGTTGCCAGCATTACAGCCGTGGTCCCTGCTTTTGGCTTTCCTTACAACAGTTTATGGCTGTAAGTCAGGTGATTAAACAAGACTTAGCTGCTCCGCACGCCTTATAGTGATAGTGTGTTGTATAAAATATATCATTATCACACAGCATTGACTGCAGTAATCGCAAATACCAGCATTTTTCTCTGACGATTAATTGCACACAATACGATTTTGCCCAACCCGGATGCCATCTTGAATTGGGCCGATACCAGAAGTTGATCAGTACATATTCATCCAGTGATGACTTGCTGAAAGTTTCATCAAAATCATCAGGTAATCCACAAGATATTTTGCAAACAAACACAAACAGACAAAACAATAATTGTCCACAATCGCCTTTAGGCAACACAAGATAAAGAAATTATTTGTTTTGCTTGTCCTAAAGTTTAGGAGCAGTGACTTTAAACCTCGTAATAAGTAAATAAAAAACAGAGAAACATGTTTTTTTTGTTATTTGCTCCTTGTTTCGTTAAATTTTGCATGTAAAATAATTTACCATGAAAAAAACTTGTGCTCACATCATTGCCACGGCGTCCCTATTAAACTCTTATTTACTTAAATATTTCTACTACTCCGCTGAACACATTTTTTCTTTTTCTTTTTTTCCCAGTAGCTTTGGACGGATCAGATGTTTCTCTAATGGTAGTTTCCATTTTTCTTTGACAAATTCTGTGTATTTAATTGCAGCGTTGCATCATTTGCTCTGCATGCAAACCAGCAAGAAGAAACAGATTCACACTTCAGTGGAGTAAAATTCACCAAAACACTAAAATGCAACATCTGCTGAGTATTTAACTGCAGTCTGGTTAGCTTTATTTAGCATTATGAAACTAGTCAAGTTGAATTTAATGAAACCAAGACATTAAAATGATATACTAACTGTATTTTAATGGCTTGATGAGCAGGCCTGTAAACCACAGCTGCAGTTTGACTGAGCCTCCTTCAATAAGACACACGTCTGCCCCGAGCAGCATCTTTTCATTAGATGAATATATAAAGAGCGGTATGAATATGTAAATACGAATATGATAATTCAGCAACGCACTGAGCTCCACATTTACATGGGAACATGTGTTAGCCCTGCAGGCCTGGTTAGGGGGACAAGACAGGTGGAGGCCAAGTGTCACCTATATGTGTGGACACTGGACCAGTAACACACACACACACACACACACACACACACACACACACAC